AAATCACTGACTAAACAAACAAATGATCTATCGTTATATTTATTACATTTAATTGACTGAATATTTTCAAATTGTTTACAATTTCCCAATAACTTTGGTATCATTTGTATATCCAGTTCATGACTTTTATTGATATATTCGCCACAAAAATATATTTGATTTTTATGATTACTAATGAAATATGTTTTTCCAGAACCAGATTGTATTGATGTAATGCCAGTTAAATTGATTACCAGTTGTGGTAAAAATATTGTCATATCAGTACAGTTAAGACCCAATTGTTTTCTACGATTTTCACCCCAACTAAACACCTGTCCATCACTTGTCACTGCAAATGACGAGTTATCGGAACAGTGAACAGATTTTATATAATAGTAATTATTATTAGTATTGAATTTAATCTTTTCGGGTGCAGTGATGGTCTCGCAAGTGGTGTTTCGGCTACCGATTTGTGACAACTCATTGTTGCCCCAACCATACACTTCATTATTATGGGTCAACACTAACGTATGATATGAACCACAGTTTACATCAAACATTAAGTCGTTGTTTTCATTGATTTGTATAATCATTGGTCGTACAAATTGGTCACTAATCAATCCAATACCTAACTGTCCGTATCTATTACARCCACAACTATACAGACAATTATCCTTACTTTGAAAGATTAKAAATTCAATTCCGTTTAAGAAATTGATAATACCTTTGTGTCTCAACTCTTTGATTTCTTGTGGTTCAGTCACCCACTGGTTGTGTCCAAAACCCAGTGATCCGTAACCATTAGCACCCAATCCGTAGACCAAATCGTCGTGTGTGACAAACAACATATTAATACCCAAACTGTCGTCAAACACATAAAATTTATTAATCAAATTAATCCAATCGTTTGGTTTTATCAGTAGTGTCTCATTTGTTGTATTTTCTGACATATTATTAAATTATTATTTTAAAATAAATATTTTAGAAAATAAAAAAGCCATTTAAAATCTATTCAAATTTCTAATTTAATAAATCTATTTTAAATAAATTATAACTCAAATATATAATTTCTCAATTTTGAAAAAGCAGTAAAAAATTATTATATAGTTTGTTATCAATAATTTATAGCACAATAAGTTGTTATCTTTAATAAAATAATTACGAAAATACTTTTATTATATAAGTTTTATTATAGCAACTATATTACAAAATATAATACTGATATTTTTAATAGTAAGTTAAATAAAATTCTAGCAAAAAAATTATTATTTATTATCGTAAATCACAACAATTACAAATGGTATTATAAAAAAATATAAATAAAAATACTATAATAGTTGTAAATACAAAATTTAGTACCCAATGAACGAAACCATATAAAGTTTTATTGCAATAGTTGTCATCAGTTTTGTCAGATAAATTATATTTGCCATTAAATACATAAATACACCCTATATAGTAGTAATTATAAAAATTATTTTTTTAAACATATTATTCAAATAAAATAACAATAAAAAAAACTTACATATACTTAATGTTATAAATATAATCAATGATAACATACTTTCGATAGATATGATAATTAATTTTATTATACGATTTTTACTAAACTTTTGTCGACATAAATCTATGATTAACGCTATAATACTTAGTGAACCGGTAGTTATCATAATTTTTGGTAACACAGGTGCAAATGGACAGTCATTATAATGAATAGATGCTTGAAATTGTCAATAATATACAATAGTATTATTAGTAAATGTATTTATTATATATTATTAAGTATAAAAAAAATATTTATACCAATTATTATACAACATAAACACAAAATGTTTCCAAATATAAATACAATTAATCCATAATGATATGAAACTAAAGTAAATTAAAAAATAAAACCAATTAGATTTAATAATAATTAAAACTTAATGTTGTTTTAATGTAACATTTTGTTGTTGATTGTGTAGCTCTATTCACTCGAATTACACCACTTTCCTCATTATTACATCCCTTTCCTGAAGTACAATCAGTTGAGTTAGCATTTAAGGCCAATTCATAGTCATTGTTAGCGATATTGTAATTAGACATTAATTAACTTAATTTGTATTATTAGTTAATTAACAACAACAACAACAACAATACTTTATATAACAACTAAATATTAAGTAATTTATTTACAATATTTGTTAGCAATTATTATTATATTATGTTGTTTATTTACGGTATAATAATAATATATATTATTGTAATATACGCAAATAAAAAAATATACTGTAATTTAGTAACTGTACATGGTTACCTTATCTAAATGTTGATATTGATAAATAATATCACATATATAAAGTGATATTGTATTTATTTTTATTATATGATAGTATTTTTAGTATATTATTATAATAAATTACAACAAATGAATTCAATTTATTATTACATTTATTAGTATTAATTTAACAATAATAAAATATATCTATGATTAAAAATAATATCGCGAAGTTTTAATACTGTATAAATTTTTCATTATAGAGTATTATATATATTAATAATATATACATATATGGATTTTTTTATAGCAAATAAATAAGCAAAATAAAAGATTAAATTTTATATAATTCAATAATACAAAAATAATAATAACTTTATGACATGTAATTCTAATATGTTATCCAAAAATAAATTGTTAATTGATTTTATATAAATGATAATTTAATAACAAAGTATCATATTTTAATGTAATAGTTTGTACTTTTCATTGCTTATAATAATAATATTATTATTAAAATAAATAGAACATTGAAGTTATATTTAGATTAAAAGATTATTGGATATAATTATTATTTTAATTATACCAATTAAATAAAACTAATATTTAACATCTGAAAATAAAAATAAATTAAATTAAATATCATATAATCAATATAAACATTTTATAAATATAATTTATTCATTAGATATGTATACATTTTTATGAGTTTTATAAGCATATGAATAGATATTAAACTATTATATTAATTTAAATGTTTTTATTGTGTGACCATAAAAATGCAAATAATTTTAATTAAAAATAACCAAAATATAATACTGTATAGTATGTAGTCTACTACTAGTAGATCATAATATAATATCATACTTTAGAGATATAAGTACAATATGAGTCATAAAAATAAAACTAATATAAATATCCAAATAAACTTTTAAATAGTAAAGAAAATCAACTATAACTATATTTAATCTACATATATTATTTAACTAAATGATTAATATATTAAAATATTTATATATTATAAATTATATTTGTGAATTTAAATATGAATAAATTGAATATATTAGAAAAATTGCCAAATAATTTGATAATACTGAAAGCCGGTACTCATTTATATAGATATGGCATTTCGTATCGTAATGTTAGACATATTAACCGACATTACATACATAATCCATATTTCAATCTCTTAATTATCATTATATATGTGTTTCGTTGTTTTATATCCATAATCATTGAATCCAATGATGACAGTGTTTATCTATGGTTGGGTGACTTTCCCTACTTTTTTGGTGCTAAATATCACATCAATCTATACATTATTATAGTTGGTTTTTATGTAATGTKTACACAGTTTATGTATTATTTGTTTGAAGATCTAACTGTAAGACCTGTATGTCAGCAACTGTTTGATATGATGTCTGGAGTGGTGTCACCTAAAAGTATTGGATTAACTAATGTTTATGACATTAAAAAATTGCTGAATATATCAGAAAATTATTTAAATATTCCAGATTATTCATATTAACATTTCCTTTAATGGCATTTAGTTTTAATTGTTATTTATTATATATTTATATTGATATATGTATTGAAAGCTGTCATGATAACATTTTAATTCATATATTAATAATACTATCATGGTCAGTTATATGTCAATTATGTGCATATGTACTTGGCAATTATTTTTTCTATCAGATAATTTATATCTATATCATATTAAAATATTGTAAACTCAAAAATAGAAGTTTTAACATTAAAATTAAAACTAATTCAGATAATTGTTATAAATATAATATCAATAAGTTATTACAGTTTTTATCGCAAATCAATGACAATCATAGAGAGATAACTAAAATTAATGCTGAATTGTGGTCAAAATTTATGCTTATTTTTATTGTCACAAATATAGCATTTATAACATTTACAATMTATATTATAGTGTTTGTCTCAATGAATACAATTATTAAAAGCATTTTCACTTATAGTGCGATAATATTTCTAATGATTTTTATTATAATATTAAATTTGTCGTCTAATATAGTGAAAGAGTTATCTATTAGTTATAAATTATTAAATACTCTGATGATTACACAAACTGATATATCAATAAACTATAAAATTAAAGTATGATATTATTTATTTAAATTTTTWWAAATCTTTAATTTACTAACATTTTTTATACTGTAGTTACTGTCACTAATTGAAAAAGTCAGTAAAAATACAATTGGTTTTTATTGTTCATCTATATTTATAATGAATTATTGGTACTTTTATGAGGTAACTATTAATATTTAATAATTTTAGCTATAATTTATTTATATTACTTTRTGATAATCATATAAATTAATATAATTAAAAATATAATTAATGAATTTGAGATAATATATTTGAATTTTGATTTTATTTTAGATTATTTCAATAATGGTGTTGTGCTTCTTAAAAATTGTTCAAATATCATAATACAGTAATTTTATATCAATTTTTGTATTATTGTAAAAATACATGTTTTAAATAACATTTATAAAATTAATCATTTATTATTATTATTATTAAATTAATTAATGTAACTACTCTAAGTAAATTAATTATTATTAGATAATATTTAAAAGTTTATAAACTTATTTTAAAAAATAAACACTTATATTATACAATAAAAACAATAGAAAAATATTATAATATAAATACAGAAATCAATATATTTAGTCAAAGTTACAATAAAAACTAAATACTATGTCATAGTATATTATGAAGAATCGATTGATTAAAATTTATTATTCAAATAATTGACAGGTTTTGGTGGTATAATTGGTCGCTGTTTAAGATTAGTCACTTCACTATCAGCTTCTGTACCGCATTTTGTGTCCATTGAYTGTTTGTCGGCCAACTGTCCACTCTTTGTTTCCACATTTTTCACTATTTTTTAAAAAATAAAAATCATTTTCATTTTAATAAGTTTTCAAAAAAATATTAATACACTTATATATGATTAATACCTTCACCATGAATTTCCTCATAGATATTTTCATTTTTGGTTTTACCAATTTTCTCCCGGAGCTCTTGAATTGTATGATAAAAATTTTGTTCCGCCACTGACTCACATTTAGTAGGGGTTTGGGTTGTCCGAGGATGAGGCTGAGGAACTGGTATAGTGTAGGCCGGGTTGTCTACATGAGTAATAGTAGTAGTAGTGGTGGTAGTGGTCATACTGTTGCGCTTATTATTAGTTAACTGTCCTAATCTATAGTGTCTAACAATAATGTAGACGACAGATCCCAACACAACCATAGCTAATAATATGGCAAATATTGATGCAATTGCCATAAAAGTCCAATCATTGTTGTTATTGTCGACGACAATGCTTTCAATTAGTGTATTATTGATGGCTTCAAACTTGGTATCTAAAGTAGACATCATTTGAGCCGTAGCGCTAGCTGTTGTGGTGTTAGCTATTATAGACAAAATCTTTTTGTTGCAATAGATCCCTGTCCAACCATATGGACAAACACATAGTCCGGTTAATATATCGCATTTTCCTATTCCACACCGACAACGTTTTTTGCATCCTTTTCCATAAAAGCCCGAATCGCACGGCTTTTCGCACCATTGGCCATACCAGCCAACCGGACAGTCACAGTTACCTGTTTCTGAATCGCAATAACCACGTTTACACCCGCATACCATATCACAGCCTGAGCCCCACATAGTTTTAGGGCAGCCTATATTTTTTTTAATATAAAATATATYAATTATAAATTTTCTATAAATTTAGAAAAGTTATCCAAATACACATACGGTGTGCACACGCTTTACCCATCCATCTATAACATAACAAATGTGATTATTTATGAAATTTTTAGATTAATTTTACATAAATGTACCAAAAAATATTTCTACTGACCCTGATTTACATTGACAGTAGTCGGGTCTATTGCACTGTCCATTGTAGCATCCATTGGGACAGTTAGCTTATAGATATGTATATATWTATTTTTTTTAATTATAAGTAAATCTATTTGTATTTTTATTTATTTATTAATAAATGACAAATGCCTACTTGCAGTATATAGAAAAAATTAATATAAACAGTTTAAAAATAATTATAATTCATTTTTTCTATGTTTAATTTTATGTAGTTTTATAGTCTATATTTAGTTTTATAGCTATTTAAGAAACATAAATTGTAATAAAAATTTATACTCAAATAAAATAATAATTTTAAATAAGTTTTTATGTATTCGTGATAAAAAATATATTAATAAAATTTTTTTGCAAATATTTTAGAGAAAAAAATGTTTTAGTATATATTTAATTCAAAAATTCAAAAAATTTAAATACCTGTGTATATTGAAATTTAAAACTATATATTGTTTTGATACAGTATTTACTAATTATTATAATATTTCATTATAAATGTAAAAGTAATAATTAAATATTTTATAAAAAAATAATATAGTATAACATTTGCATTACAACTTACCGATACATTTGTTACCACTTTGTTGATAACCGTCACAACATTTTTCAATCAATCTTTCCTTAATCCTAACAACTGGTTGCTTGACATCACTATATACTGTCCTAAAACATTAGAAAAGTCATAATAACTCAATTAGTTTAAAGCTTATTAACAAAATTTAAAAAACACTTATATTTAATAAAATTTAACTAAAAACTACTTTCATATAATAATAATAATTAACTAATGATTTTACTGAATCTAATGACATAATAATTTATTATCAATTTCTAATTTTAAGTAATTTGATCTAGGTCTTATCTATGATAATATGTTTAGTTAATTATAAACAATATAATTAAATTTAACAAAAATATTTGTATTTTTAAATTGTACCTTAAGATCAATTTTATAATCATTTAATTAATATATAGTTTGAAAAACATCTTACTTTGATTTTCTACATTGAAATACATGTTTGAAATCCAAACACCAGTCGTTATAGTGAGTAATACTGGGAACAGACATTATTTTCATTTCCTCAACCGGTTCTCTAAATATTTTACATAATATTAAATATAAATTTTGTATAAAACATAAATCATTGAATAATACTGTATTACTTATGTAATGATCGGCATACATGTGAACCTATCAAACTGATTGATGAATCTATCATCAAAATTAATATTATTAATCCAAATATTAATGAATTCATTGTTTGTTGTTATATTAATATTAATATTTTCAATATTTATGTAATAAAATTATTTATTTTTTTGTACACAATTGTTTTCTATGCAATTGTCTACTAAAATATTAAAATAACTTATAATATTGAATGAGAAATATTTGCTGATCATATTAATAAATATCAAATAATAAAATTTAATTTTACATTTACTATCTTAGAGTTTAACAATTATTATTTATATGTATTATATTTCATGTAATTTTAATATTTTTAGTCATAAGTTTTTGTTATTATGTAGACTAAAAAATAAGTTTTAAATCTCTTTTGATTTTACAGTCATATAATCTAAGAATAATTTTATAATTTTTATTAATTATATGCAATTTGTATTAATTATATTTTAAATAATTTTTATAAATTTAATTAGATTTTATTTTATACAACAAAATTGACTTTAATATATTTATAATAATTTTGTAATGCTTGTAATGTAAAAATAATTTATGAATTTTGTATAAACACTGTATAGCAATACAAAGTAATTGTAATAATAAAAGTTTATTTATTAAGTTAAATTAATACTATAGTTTAATATTAATTTAAATATAACTACATATAAAAATAGTACAGTACAATTTATATTAATATATTGCACATTGATATACAGTATATTTCGTGCATTTAATTTATTATTTAATTAGAGACATAATTAATATACAGTTTTACTCTTTCTTTCTTTCTTTCTTTCTCTCTCTCTCTCTCTYTCTCTTTTTACTGTTATCGCAATGTGATATAATTTATAATTATACAATTTATAGTAAAACAATAATTTAATTATTATTTTGAACAGTTTCAATAATCCAGTCAATATATAAAGTAACTTTTACAAAGAACATATTGATTTGATTGTTAGAGCACCCACCATTGCCACCCTTACCAATGCCTATTAAAATGGCCTTTCCATTGACATACTGATACAATGGACCACCTGAGTCACCCTATAATAAATATGATTTAGTATTATTTAGTTGCATCACATTTTAATGTAAACTAATTAATTTATTTTTAAAAATTACAATACAATAGCTATAGATTAAAACATAGTGTGTTATACAAATTAATTAACTCAAAAAAGTATTTTATTATCCTTACCCAGCATATGCCCGAACCGGAACCGGGAGGATAGGGTTTGGCAACAATATAGTTGCGAGTAATTGTCAATATTTTGTTCCAACCAATTTGCAACCAATTAGGTAAAGTATTATTATTATCAATGACACCGAAACCGGCATATATAATCAGTTGGTCTTTTGTATTAATACTATTGAGCTCCGGTAGACAAATAGCCTGATTAACCAACAGAAACGTGTTGTCCACAAGCGGGTCATAGAGTGATATCTTATGTCTTAACTTAATAAGACCGATATCAGTAGTACTTTTCCAATTAGTATAATTGGGATGAATATAGTAAGTGTCGACATCGTAATTGTTATCTGTATTGATACTGGCATTTAGTACACCCGGATATACTAATAAATCTTTAACATTGGTCACATTACTGATCTCATTATCAAAAAAAAAACATAATTTTTTGTAATTTTTTAGAAAATGTTAGCAATTTTTATTATTTAAAAAAACATAATTTTATAAACATAATAATACATTCAACAATAAAAATTATTTCTAAGTAATACTAACTTGAGATTATGTGCAGCAGTAAGTATCCAACGCTCGTTTAGTATGACTCCTGTAGACAGATAATTGTGACTATATTTTTAGAAATTACAATAATTATTGTAATAAATTAAATATTATAATATATGTCAAGTAGTTTAGTTTGCATTTTATTTACATATACTTTTAAATTATTTGATAGTACTCTAACAAAATGCATTTAATAACAAATCGTAGCATAAATCTTAATATTACTATGATATTAAAGATTTGGAAAGTTTATGGAAAATTTCATATAAATAAATATTACCTGTCATTTACACGTACACTAATGAGGACAATCCACGGCGCTTCTCCTATTTGTGCTGGTCGTCCATTGTGTATATTTGACATTAGATTAGTGTGAAACCGAAAACATTTTCCTTCAGTAAATTGAGTTAACCTACCGATGCCACACATTTTGTAGGTAACGTTAGGATAGTGTTCAATGTTTACACTTTCATTTAAACAGAATTTGATAAATCCTAACAATACTAGCAGTGCTGACAAGTATTTCATTGTCTTATTTAATAAAATTTATATAATAATATTGTTATTATTTTTGACATTTAATAAATAAAGATATTTATGTATTAAAATTATATGTTTTACATAATGTATATTTTATAATTGATAGCATTGAATCAGTAATGTAAATGATATAGTATTAAATTACATACAATTATTGTAAACGATATCTTTACTAATTTTTTATTTAATTAATTCTACTATTAACAATAATATACATATTATAAAAATTATTTTAATTAAACAAAATACTATATATTAAATATAAATTTATATTTATTTAATTTCATTATAAATAATTTCTTAGAAAAAAACCCTATTTAATAATTCTCAATAACCTTATCTTAAAAATATAGTTTCAAATATTTTAAACTATATTCAAATAACTTGCTAAACACTATTACATTATAATTGTTACATTAGATTTTTTTAATTTATTTAATAATTTATTAAAATAACAACAAATACTGTAAGTTATTAAATACATAAAATGTTTAGTAAAAGTTGAATGTTTTTTATAACTTTATTTAAGTACTATGTAATGTGATATACAAAAAAAAAACCAGTTAAGAATGCTAGAAAGCATTTTCAGAAAAAAAACTTGAATAGCATTGAAAACCATTAGTTTGTATAATTATAGCGGCTATATAGTAACATAAAAATTTAAAAATTGGTCAAATATACATAATATAAATATTGTCATGTATGGTATCAAATGATTCAGTATGACAAAATATTCTCAATTTTAGTCATGCAAGTTATCAAATCACTCAATATGATAAAATAAACACAACTTTAGTCATGTAGAGTATCAATTGACTCGGTATCACAAAATAAACTTAACTATAGTCATGTGGGGTATCAAATTACTCGGTATGACAAAATAAACAACTACTCATGTGTTATCAAATGATTTAGTATAACAAAATAATCATCTATAATTGTACTTTTGCCGCTTATACTTATTCTTTGTTCCCGTAATATTAAAATTTTAATGCATATTTTTTATTCTTGTTTTTGATGCTTTATCCAAATCTATAATTAAAAAAATTTCTAAAATTTTCTTATACTTTTGCTACCATTTTTAAAAAAATTATGCTGATATATTATATCATATTTTTGATGCTCTTTACAATTCTAAACGTTAAAATTTTTACCTAATTTTTTTACTTTGGCCGCCATTTTCTTTGTTCCCGAAGAGATATCAAAATTTTAATGCATATTTTTTATGCTTGTTTTTGATGCTTTATTCAAATCTATAATTAACAAAAATTTTCTTAAGATTTCCTTTACTTTGGCCGCCATTTTCTCTATGTTACCGAAGAGATATCGAAATTTTGATGCAACTTTTCAATACATTATTAGTAGTCCTTTAAGCGTATCTGAAGTCAGAATTTCAAAATTCGCAAAATGAAATGCTACAGACAGACAGACAGACAGACTCAAAAAGCCATTATAGATTTCAGTAAACAAAACTTTTCAAGTTTTTTTTGAAAATACTTTTTAATTTAATATTTTGTAATTTGTAATTTTGTTGTATAAAAACTAGAATATTTATTAAAAATAATTTTATTTATTGTAAATGAAATAACTATATTATAATTAAGTATAAATATATAATTATTAAAACTCATTATTAAATATAAAATATAATATAATATTTATGATATTATTTATATATATAGTATCGTACTTTATAAATTATAATTGTATAATATTGCATATATCTAATAAAACTAAAGATTATTAATATTACAATTGTAAAAAAATTAATTGTTAAATAAAAGTAATTACAATTTTCTAACTTTTGTTTTCTAGTATAATGTTAAGTATGCAAATGTAAATTAAAAACAAATATTTTCAAAAAGATAATTAGATTTTAAAATTAAATACAGCAATTTTTATTAATTTATATTATTATAAAAAATAATCTTAAGTAAAACAATAGACAAAATTGTTAAGTGTAAACATCAATAGATTTTTAGTAACAATTTTTAACTACATTTTGGCAATCGTTTTATATAATTTTGATCGGAGTTATCATTGATAACATGGTTTACATTGTGTCGATGTGGTGGTCCACTGGACGGACAGTTTATCGGCCGATCCGAGCTATGATTCGTTAGTTTTGACTTTTGTTTGATCCGTTGTTGACTGGCTTTGAGGTGACAATGAACGCGAACAGAGGTTAGCATTTATTTTGTTGAATCAATTGATTTTTCAAAATATGTAAATTGTTTTTAATTAAAAAAAATACAAAATCTTATATTTAAATACTGTATAAGAAAGTAATAGAAAAATACTGTATCAAAATATTATAGAATATTATTAATAATAACTTAATATTTTTTAGTGATAAGTGAATTAACAACTTTTATATATTATTGAAACAACTGTGAAATGTTATGCCTTTTTATAGTCACTCAAAATTATTGACTTAATCATTGGATACATGATATTATAGTACAAAAGTAATAAATTATAATACGATATTTGAGTGAATAATTTGCTGATAAATGTCAACTTCAATGAGGAAAGACATAACAATATAATATTTGCAGTCAATGTCTGTTAAATTGTTTTATTTGTTGAATTGTATACCATATTATACTAAATTATTTATAAAGTACATAATCTACTGTAAAATAATAACTTTGAGGTGCAATATTAATATTTGTCTAAATAATCTATGTACATTTATTAGTTTTGTTTTTTTTAAATATTGAATTTTTGTTGATTTTTTAATTTTAATAAACTATTATATAAAAATAGTCTACTCAAATTAATATTAATATAACTGCTTAATAGATAATAATAATAAATCATAAGTATAATTCAACTAATATTAAATTTGTTATAATAAAAATAACTACCGGTAATTTATTTTATAAATCAAATGAATTTTTTATTTAAAATTCTAGTTTTTTATTGTAAATTGTTTTGACTATTATAGCCTAACAACAACACTGTTGTATGCTTACTGTTGTTAGTGTTAAATCTAAGAAAAATTATATTAACCCTTAATTAAATAAATAAAACAATTGATAATAATATGATAAATTTATTTGTAAACTATTTCCTAATTTGATTCAACTCTAAAACAGTTTTTGCAAACTTTTTGATGTCGTCGACCACTAGTTTTGGCTCTTCAAAGGCAGCAAAGTGTCCGCCGCGCGGCATATCAGTGTATTGGACCAGATTTTCGTATTGATATCGGGCTAACTCTATTGGCAAACGGCCTAACTCGCTGGGAAAGTCGGCCACAGCGGCCGGTACCGATGCCGACACAGGTATTCTGCAAAGATACACAAAAATGTATAAATTAATCATTAATTAGATTATTTATAAATATTTATTATACATGCATTATATTGTATTATAAAATATCGTATAAATTTAATTATATAATTTACATTAATAAATAATTATTAATAAAATAAACAGCAAACCTATTGATATCAGTTGTAAAAAGTATGGGCACTGTTTCCTTGTAAAACCTCATACTTGAGGCGACATTACCGGTAACCCAATAGATCATTACATTAGTTAACAATTGATCTAAAGTAAACTTTTTGGTTAAACCGCCGTCCGGTTTGTGGACATTGTTGAGGTCAGTCCACGTGGAAAACTTTTCCAATATATAAGCGGCTAAACCAACGGGACTATCGACCAGTGCCGAGCCAACTGTATCGGGTTTTGTGGCCTGAATGTGAGCGTAACCCGATTCACGCAATCCATTGTATAATTTCTCTTTAATCGGATATAATTTTTCAATAGCTTTGTCTGGTTCAGCATAAATCAAACGGGGAAAGTAGGCTCCGATCATTATTTTTAGTCCTGCCATACCATCAAACTGTTGCTGTTGTAATGTTGTATGCAAACCTATTACACTGAAAATAAATAATAATAAATAAATAAATATAAAAATATGTTTTTAACAATTAATTATTTGCTAACTACTGTATATACAATATACTTAGATTTAATAGCAATAAATTGTAATAATTAATTATTTTTTTAAAAATATAATTACAGTATGTATTCAAATTACTTTTGTGGATATGTTTGTGCAATTACTTTAGAAATATAACTGCCCCAATCACCTCCATGTACAAAAAATTGATTATATCCCAATCGTTTCATTAGTTTGACAAATATGTTTGCAGCCGATATTATACTGAAACCTGTATTAAAATCAATTTTAGGTATAAAACTAAAGAAAATATACATTAAATAATTTGTCAAACCTGGCTGATGTGGTGCCTCCGAAAAACCATAGCCCGGTATAGACGGGAGTATTACTTCAAATGCAATATCATTTGTCGGCTCAATTAGCATTGGCAGAGCCTTATAGTATTCTAATACAGATCCCGGCCAACCATGTATTGCCTAATTAATTATTTAATTACAACTAACTAATCAAATTAAGAAATTTATTAAAGTTATACCAATAGAGGAACAACAGTTTTTGCCGGTTTCGATGGTTTCACGTGAATAAAGTGTATATCAATGCCATTGATTTGTGTCTTAAAGTGATTGAATTTATTTAACTCTTTTTCCTGTTTACGCCAATCAAACTTTGTCAGCCAATAGTCGACAACTTGTTTGAGATAATCACCATTAAAGCCATAACTGAATTGTGAGTCAGATAATGGTTGGACATAACGGGCCGATTCTAATCGGTTTTTGAGATCATTGAGCACCGCATCGCTAATATTGACTGTAAACTTATTGATTGTTTCGGGATCTTTTGGCAATAGTTGACCGGCTAATAGTATCAAATAAGTAATATAATAGTTTGTAAATAATACAAATAATTTTTGTTAAATATTTTAAAATTAATTATTTATCACTTATTTCGTTACCTTTAATTTTATTTTTACCAAACCATATATCTTCATAATCGGGTAGTTTTGGTTCAGGACTTGTAAATATTTGATATATCACAGCACCGATAGCTATTAAAGCCGTTAAACTTATAATTTTATTAATAGTACCCATAATTATTATGACTTTGATTAAGTTATTTTTTACAGATTAATAAAGTATATACTATAGTATATATATATATACAGTATATTATTAATATGTATTTTTTAAAATAATTAAAATAATAATAATATTTATAAAGGATTCTACTTTATATTAAATAGTTTTCAGAAATTACTTAAAACATTTAACAATATTTTGCATTTTAAAATATTTTGCTTAATACTTAAATGCTAATCATAACAATCAATATAATCTTATAAAAAAAATGATAGATAATACTATTAAAAAAAACACTATTAAACAAATATTAATAATGTATGCCACTCCTAAAAATAGGAGTCTTATTTATTATAAATTTAGTTTATAATAATCATAATAATAAAAACTATTTTTCTTTTTTTTAGTGCATTTTTAGTACAAAACCAAAAGTTTAAACCCAATGCACTTAACCACTCTATATTTGCAATCATTTAGTTTAGCAATAATTTTTTTAGGCAATAATTTTATGTTTTCAAATTATTTTAAACTTTTAATATCATCACATTATTGGCAATACTATCTATCATAGAATTTCTATGACTAGTTTTTTTTTCAAACAATGTTTCTCAAGGGAGGCAACAATATTATACAATAACAAAAAAATATAGTCAATTAATTGCTAATAATTTGTTTCTATTGCAACATTTTTGTGAAATATTTCAAATCCGATTTTAAAATTAAATTTTCAATTTAGTTTTTTTTATAAAAGTTATATAAAAAGCTATTATTATGTTTTTATTGATAGTATATTGTTTAGTACAGTATATTGAAATATATTAAAATTTTTGTACCGGTATATTGTTTTCTATTACACACTGTATAATATACAGTGTATACCAAACAATGTAAATGCATGTATACCTGCAATACTTGTCATATACTGTACTGTATTTACTAACAATATTAATCACTAAATTAGGTGTAGGAATTGAATGTCATTGATATATTTTTTTAGTAAATAGTAAAGTATAGATAAATTTTAATTTATATGTGATTGAAATGTTTAACATAAAAATACTATAAATATAGTTTGTATCAAAATAAATATGATTAAAATATAATTATAATAATTGAAATAAGTATAACTTTTTTTGAAAAAATTGTGAACTAAATGTACTAAATCCATGTGAATGTAAAGTTTATAATGTGAAGTAAAATATACATTATTTACTGTATTTTGTATAAACAATTTTACCATAACTGTTGGCAACTGATAATGTGATTAAACATTTCAAACATTGCGATAACACTGTATACTTTAATATATTATACATTTTAGGTTATAATATTAACCATATATTGTATTTAATCAGTTTATTATGTATTATATTTTTTTGTTTATTAAAAATTTAATATATATTTTTTAGTAAACAGTATTATTTACTTTAAACCATTTTAAAAATATATATAGATTGTTTAATTTAGTGTATGAATCTACACATACACACAAACATTAATTGTATTGTTAAAATATTATTTATTTTGTCATTATAATAATTATTAATATTGCTAGTCATTGAAAAAACATATTGTTTAATCATATAAATAAATATTATATATATATATAAATATTTTTTCAATGACTGAGAATCCAGACAGAGATGAAAATAGCGATTGTCAGAGACGGCTCATGGATGCTACCGGAGCTGAATGCAGTGGTCACGACAGCAAACGGTACGGAACTACCGATACGACAACCGACATCGCCGATGGAAAAATATCAGTTAATACCACAAATGTTAGTAATGATAATTGTGAGAGTGGTCAGGGAGGAGGACAGGGAGAGATAGAAGTGGATAATCAAACTACCTGTGATACTGGTCTATGTTGTACTGTCTTTAGATTTATAAGACATTTGAATGCCACCGAAGATCACATACAGTTTGCTGACAAATGTTTTTCACTAATATTTGGCACATGTATTACATAATTGATACTATTGTTTATAACTAAAATTGAAAAATTAATTATACTGTAATGTATTACTGTGCAGTTGTCGGATTAATTGCCCTATTTATTGCTAACATCATTCAAATAAGTTGTTTAATTATGGGTAAAAATTTTTTTGTTATTGATAAATATTTAATTGCATTTTTTAAGAAATATTTTTAGTATACATATTACTAATTATTTTAGGTTCGGTATACATATACGACTGTCCCAATTCACCGGGAATACCAGCTATCTTGATAACCCACGGTGCCATAAATATGTTAATCAGTATAATTGAAGGCATCAAAAGGCGTATTAATAGTCATTCAAAAATTATCAAACAATTCAATTCCGTATTGACATTACTAAAACTTGCATCAGCTGTTAGTTTCTTAATATGTAAGCAATGGATACTAATATAATTAACAATTACCATAATTATGATTAGATTATCAAAAATAAATTTATTATTATATAGTAAATATTCACTTCTAATTTCTATTATTTTTTTTTCTTTTCAATTACAGGGATGGTTGTAGTCTATGACAGTATTACACCCAACTATGAGGATAAAAGTGTACAAAATTATTGCAACAAAAATTTATATTTATTTGCATTTTGGTTATTAAACTCAATGTTGATATTAATGGCAATATTAATGTTCACTATATGCTGCTGCTGTTGTTTAAGTCCGTATATTAAATAAAATTATTAATAATTTTATTTAATATATTAATTTATTTGTAATATAATTTTTTTAATATAGTGATTATGTTATTTGTTTCACTATTTTTTTTACAAATAACTATTCTATAATTATTTTAAAAATAATATTTTATATGTGGTATATCATTTAAATGGCAAATACTGTAATGCAATATTTTTATATTTTATAATCTAATATTTTTATTAATATTTGTCACTAAAAGTTTGTCACATAAAATATTATCCATCAAATTAATTATAACAATAATGAGCATTTTAGACATTGATAAATTAATATCACATTACATAACAATATAATTATTTGTAAAACTATTTTTGTTGTTTTGTTGACTGTTTTTCAATGTCTAAAACATTTTTCGCAAATAACTTGATATCGTCAGCAAAAAGTTTCGGTTCTTCAAAGGCCGCAAAATGGCCGCCACGGGGCTGTTCGGTAAAGTGTACTAAATTGAGAATCTTATAGCCGACCAACTCTTTAGGACAATGGGATATCTCGTTAGGAAAGTTGGCCACACCTACTGGTACAGTGGCATCAATAGGTTGTCTAAATGATAAATATTTGTAAACATTTTTTAGTGAAATAACATATAAACTATGATTATCAATGATTACATACTCATCCCAATTGTATCCAAATACTGATTCTACGTTTTCCTTATAAAACCGAAAAGTTGCGGCCACATTGTCGGACACCCAGTAAAGCATAACACCAGTCAACCATTCATCTAATGTATAGCCATCTGTAAGTCCACCGTCCCATTTGTCTATATTCTGAGCATTGGAGGCCATTGCAGACTTTTCCAACAAATACGCGGCTAAACCCGCAGGACTATCGGCCAGTGCGGCAGAAACGGTGTCCGGTTTGGTGGCCTGTATATGAAAATAGCCCGATTCTCTCATCAAAAACTGGAATCGCTTTTTAAGCGGAAATATTCTCGGGTAATCCCGATCGGGATTTTCAAACACTAGTTTCGGAAACCACATTGCAGTCAAATATTTGACAAAATGTATCCCTTTTGGAATCATACATGAGTTTAGATTTAAATGTAATCCACGTATACTGTGATAAACATATATATAAATTTTTAATATATTATATTAATATTATTATATATATATTAATAATTAATATAATATAATTACGATATTACTATTAAAAAAAATTATTAATTACTTTTGTGGATACAGTTTGGCCATAGATCTGGCCACAAAACTGCCCCAATCACCGCCATTCACAACAAAATTATTGTGATTTAATTTTTTCATAAGTTTAATAAAAATATGTGCCGTTTGTATACTATCGAGACCTTTTAAATTAATTAATTTTTATATATTTAATCAATATTTATATTAAATTAATATTTCTAAACAAACCCGACTGATTCGGTGCCTCTGAAAAGCCATAACCGGGAATCGATGGACAGATTACTTCAAATGCCAGACCATCTGCTGTCGGTTCAGTCAATAGTGGAATTGTTTTGTAAAACTCCCAAATTGATCCAGGCCATCCATGAATTAACTTTTTATATATAGTTACAAAAATAGTTAGATATTAATATTAATTGTAATAATAAAATTAAATACCATTAAGGGAACGATAGTTTTTGCCGGTTTCGTTGGTTTTATGTGAATAAAGTGTATATCAATACCACTGATCTTTGTTTTAAAGTGATTGTATTTGTTTAACTCCTTTTCCTGTTTACGCCAATCAAACTTTGTTAGCCAATAGTCGACCACTTGTTTAAGATAATCACCATTAAAGCCATAATTGAATTGACTGTCTGGCAGTGGTTTCACAAAACGGGTCGATCGGAGACGTTGTTTAAGTTCACTGAGTACTTCATCCGATATGTTGACTGTAAACTTGTTGATAGTATCGGGATCTTTAGGTAATGGTTCGCCAGCTATTAAAACCATACAACAAATCAAAACATTAATATAAAAGTTATTTTTTTTAAAAATAAAACAATTGCTAACATTTAAGTTTATTTTTGCCAAACCATTTGGGCTCTGTTTGAAGTAAATCTAATTTATCACTTTTTATAAATAATTGGAAAACAATAGCAGTTATTGCCGTTAAAATAGCCAAAGCAATTAATTTTCCCAAAATTCCCATAATATTACAGTATTATATCATTTGAAAACAACAAAAATATTTTATTTAAAAATAATATAAAATAAACTTTTTAACTGTATTCAGCTAATAAATAGCTAATTCATTATATAATGACAATTTTGATTTTAGTTATGCACTTAACATACAATATTTTACTACTACTACTACATGTTTGATAGTACAACAGTATATCAATAAATAAATTCATAAAGTTTTTAATATTAAATATAGTAACTATTTATAAATTATATTAACTATAATACAGTAGATATAAAGTACATATTAAGTACATGTATATGTATTATTATTGTGACTATTACTATAAAAACCAGTTTTACAAACAACTGATTACTGATCAGTCAGTATCAGTGTTGGAAAAATACAAGGTTTTGAATTTTGAATTTGTATAATACATTAAAATACGATGTACTGCATGTATTATACAAATTTTAAAACTAATATATATTATGTTAAAAAATTACTTTAATATATTTTAGTAAAAATATAATTGCTAGAAAATGCATTATTATTATTATAATTACAATCGTTGTTTCTAAGTTATAAAAATCAAATAATTTAAAATAAAAAATGAAATTCAATAAAAAAATATTAAATCTATATTTATTATAAAACATGATTTACTTTGCTTATATTAATCCTTTTAGCAATAGCTAATTTGTTTTTGTAAGGAAAATTGGTCATGTATTTTACATTGTTTTATAATGTATAATACGCTTTGTATTATAGAAACATTTTGTCTCTGCCAACACTAGTCAGTATTGCCTCAAATTGTACTTTAAATACACTTTAATAATTAGCTAAAATTTATAAATAATATCAATTAATATAATAATAATATTACATATTTGTATTTCAGTACATAATTATGATGTCTAATACATGTAATGTATTATATATTTTTAACTACAATAATGTTTATAATTAAATTAAAAATAAATAACTAGAAAAATCAGTGTACAGTCATATTAATAGTTTAAAGGCTATTAATTTTAACTTAAAAAATCATAATAATTAGACTGAAATATCAATTTATATATTTATTGTTAATGTTTGGACACAAAAAATATATATTTATAACTTAATATTAAATACATATTTTAGTTAAAGTAAAGTCTAGTAATGTATAAAATATATGTATTATTTAAAAATCGCGCAAACATTCAGTGTTTTGTTTATACATACAGTATATGACATTTGATTGTAAATTAATTATTGTTTTCAGCAATAATTAATTGATTGAATCATCTGTTTATGTTTTTTCGGTGACCATCGATGACTAAAATTATGGACAACAATGAGATGAATAATGATCTGAAAGAAGAAAACAGTCGTCTATTAAGAGAACTATCGTTTAGTGAGTCATTCATCAAAGTCTTAGGCGAACAGAGGGACCAATTCATCAAATTGTTTAATGAATGTCAACACTGCGGACAAAACCAGGAGATGAGACAATTGTTGTCCAAATTTGATGACAAATTGATTGAAATGAAGAATCAGTTTAAATCACAATTAATTAATGAAGAATCCGATGATAGTAGAGATGAAGACAAGACAAACAGCGGACAAAAGAAATTGCGCCGAAAATACAGGAAAAATACACAAAAAAGTTGTAATCAATCAAATACTACAAGAGGTATGAATTAATGAAGATATCATTGTCTATGAATCATATGTTTAACAATAATATTTAATTGATTTGACAGTACATTACAAATATCATTGTCAAACCTGTGGTTATAAGACGAAAGATTTGACCCGATTTAACCGTCATCTGACCAACAATGGTCATCAACGGTCCGAAACAATGGTGGCCGACGTGATTAACAAGACGGCCGGTAACAGACATTTTGATTATCTAAAGTTTATATTGTTTTTCTGAAAGATATTGTTTTTTTTTTATTTTCTCAATCACTGAATCACTGATATCTGAAAAAACCAAATCAACTTTGAGTAGAGAAAGTCAGTGACGAAGAGGTAGATGACAGTCGATTGATGAAAACGAGTGGCAAAAATACTAAAGAAAAGAAAAAGTTTATCTGTAATGAAGACAATTGTGGCAAACAGTTTAAAGATACATATCATCTGATGAGACACAAGAAAACTCATAAAAAATCACTTTTCAAGTGTGAGTTCAAGGATTGTGATCAAAGTTTTGGTGAATTGAATTCATTGGTTAATCACACAAATACTTACCATAACTTTATTTCAAATGAAATTTTGTTTGACTAACAATTACCAGTAGATTATTAGACATGAAAATATTTTTATCAGTTTATCATAATTTAGTTTATATATCTATTAAAAAATACCGTATTTTAAATTGTTACTTTTAGTTAATATTTAATTTGTCATTTTAATAACCCACTGTACCATAATTATGTTGAATCTATATAATTGAATGCATTATTAGATATTCAAACAATTATCAAACAATATAATCCCCTATTACTGTACATGCAATATGTGGATAAAAGTGTGTACAAAATTAATTTATATTTACCAGTAATTTTGGTTATTTAATTGATATTAATTGCAATATTACCGTAATATACACTATATGTTGTTGTTGTAAGTCCTTACCGTATATTAAATATGTATAAATAACTGGTAATTATTTTATTTTACCGGTAAGTGATTGTATTTTTTATTTGAAAACTAATTATGAATCTACAGTACAGTTGTATTTATTTTTATCTTCATTTATAGTCTGTAACTAAAGTTTTTTTAAAAGTCATATATTTAAAAATAAATGTTTATTTCATATGAAACACAATTTTTGACTAAACATTGATTAAAGAAAATGAGATAATATGGACTACTAATGTATTTTTTATTTTGTAAACTATAATATTTCATTTCATTGATATTTAGTATTTTAGTCTTCAATGTTGTGGTTTAATCACATCATCGACTGAAGGACAACAAGAGAGCCACTAATTTATGTCCTTCTTCTGCGTCTTCCACGTCGTCCACGAACTGTATTCCGACGACGAGTGGGACTTCTAGTCCTTCTTCTCTTTCTTCTGGTGGCTGAATGCGTATTACTTCTACTTCTTCTACTACTTCTTCTTCTTCTTCTACTACTTCTTCTTCTTCTACCACTTCTTCTTCTTCTTCTTAGTAGACTTCTTCTCTCTCGTTCTAATCTTCTCCTTCTTCTTGCATTACGTCTCATAGTTGCGGAACGCGTTTCACTTCTTCGTCTATATCGTCGACGTCTTCTTCGTCTTCTGAGTCCAAACAAATTTCTTTGCATAAACTCTTGTTGCATCAGTTGTTGTTGTTGACGATTTTGCAGCTGTTGTTGCTCTCTCTCTTGTTGTTCTCTATCTAATCTTTGAATCATTTCTACATCAGGATCAGGCACTGGAAAAGGTAACGGTGCGTTGTTTACAGGTATGGGTTGGTTACCATTTGTATTCTCAATGACTGGCGTAGTATTGCTTACAGTATTTCCAATCATTGGACTGTCAGCGCCGGTAGCTGTCTGTCCATCGCTGACTGCTGCTGAACTTCCAGTAGTAGCCGCTATTTCAGTGCCGGTATTAGTGGGTTTCGATGCGGTACTACTGCTGTTCTCTGTATTACCGGTTGGTTTTTGTTCACCAATTGATTTCTCAGCCATTTTAGTTACCGGACTGTCGATGGATTCGACTTTAGGTGTCAACTGTGGCTTCACTTTTGTTTCAGACTTTTTCTTTTCAACCGACGCATCAGTTTTTGTTAGATTTTCGGTCTTAACTTTAGAATCGGTGGGAATTGTCTTCTTCTCTTGGATACCGGTTTTCGAAACTAATTGTGGTTTGGATTCTGAATTAGATTTTTTCTCATTATTCTTCACCAAAAAGTCTGGTTTCGATTTTAGTTTCGCAACTGATTGTCCATTAGAAGCGGATGAATGACTTCCCAATACATTCTTATCAGTCGATGGTTTCTTCGCTTCGATAATCGTTCTCTTTTTTGAATCTATTGAGTCTGTCTTTGAATCACTCGATGTCTTCTTTGTTTCAGTAGTTTTCTTTGTGTTCTTTAAAGTGCCCTTTGAATCACTCGATGTTTTCTTTGCTTCGATGGCTGTCGTCTTCTTCGTGTCTTTAGATGTTGTCTTTAGGTCTTTGGCTGTCTTATCGCTTATCGAAGACTTCTTTGTCACCGTTGAAGTAGGTTTTGCTTTTGCTTCGATGGCTGTCGTCTTCTTCATGTCTTTAGATGTTGTCTTTTGGTCTTTGGGTGTCTTATCGCTTATCGAAGACTTCTTTGTCACCGTTGAAGTAGGTTTTGCTTTTGCTTCGATGGCTGTCGTCTTCTTCATGTCTTTAGATGTTGTCTTTTGGTCTTTGGGTGTCTTATCGCTTATCGAAGACTTCTTTGTCACCGTTGAAGTAGTTTTTGTTTTTGCTTTGTCTTTATCATCGGTTTTCGGTTTCTTATCCTTGTCTTTGTCTTTCTTGTTTTGATCCATAACACTGATTCCCACCGATAGTTTGGATCAACTATTTGTGTGATTAACCGACTCGACTAACCGTTAGAGTGATATCTTTTTGATTTTTGAATTTACTAAAAATTATTGTTTAAATTTGCAACAATTAAATTTATTAAAAATATTTTTTTTAAGTAACACGTAACACGCGCCTCGTTATAATAATTATTACTATTAAATTAATTACTATTTATATTGTTGTGTATTATATTCGGTAACAAAAAAATAATATTACGAATGTTTTGTCTGACAAATGAAAAAATATTTTTTTTATTGAATATTTATTATCAGTGAAAATGTGTGAAGAAATCGATGTGAAGACAATTAAAACAATTAGCAAAAGTGTGGACAACAGTACTGAAAAAGAAGTGCCTTTTTGTCGCATTTGTTTTGAGGATAAATCTGCGGGTCGTTTGAAATCGTTTTGCGAGTGTCGCGGATCTGTCGGTAGTGTACACCGCAAATGTCTGGAAAAGTGGTTTCTGGTCAGTCATAGTGATCGCTGCGAGATATGCGGCACACAAATGGATGTTAAGTTGGTTTACGGATCTCTCATCGATTGGATCTGCGATTTCCGTACCATTCGGTTCCTATTGTTGGACATCCTGTCGTTGGCCATAATTATACCATTATTTATTCGTTCACTATATTTGTTGAATAACATTATGTGGCAAAAGACTACACTTATGACAGCAATTGTCATATGTGTCGGTATATCCATAATAATGCTGTTGTTATTCACTGTTATCTATATTTGGCTCTTAGTCTGTATCGTTCATCACATTAACTCATACATTGAGTGTACAATAAACGGGAAAGTTGTCATCAAACCGATTAAATCACAAAATCAACAACAATTGACTGTTAGTGATAGTGATAGTAGTAGTGGTGGTAATCAACAACAACACCGAAATGATCTGTTCATTCGTGTCCTCTCTTTCTTTCGATGTTCAGTTCAGTCGACAAATACTATAGATTTTGTTTAACGTTTTTTTAAACAAATTTATTCAACTTTTTAACATTTATTTTTTACAATACTTATGTATTTTATTATTATTCAGTTTATTATAGTTATTATTATTTTTTTCATAAAATATTTATAACTTTTTTTTTTAAATAATCAAATAAATATAGTAACTGTCATTTGTATTGTATTTACCACTAATTCTGTCTAATATTAAAAAAAAACAGTTTTTATTGCAAATGAATATTATCGCTAAACTAACTGATCTTGATGCTATTAATTGATTAATAATAATTTATTTATTTATTAATAAAAAAAACTTAAATTTATTTACAAAATGACCAAAACTTAATTTTAAAAATGATAACATTTTAGATATTCATAAATAACATTTACCAGTAGTTTTAATTTTACTTTAACTTACAGTACAGTAATTTAGTTAAAATAATTCAAATCACTTATTTGTAAAACTATTTTTGTTGTTTTGTTGACTGTTTTTCAATGTCTAAAACATTTTTCGCAAATAACTTGATATCGTCAGCAAAAAGTTTCGGTTCTTCAAAAGCCGCAAAATGGCCGCCACGGGGCTGTTCGGTAAAGTGTACCAAATTGAGAATCTTATAGCCGACCAACTCTTTAGGACAATGTCCTATCTCGTTAGGAAAGTTGGCCACACCTACCGGGACAGTGGCATCAATAGGTTCTCTAAATTAAAATTATATATTATCTGTAATATTTATAATTACTGTAACTATGATTATCATCAATAAACTACATACTCATCCCAATTGTAGCCATATATTGATTCTACGTTTTCCTTATAAAACCGAAAAGTTGCGGCCATATTGTCTGACACCCAATAGATCATAATACCAGTTAACCATTCATCTAATGAAATCTTATCTGTAAGACCACCGTCCCATTTGTCTACATTCTGTAAACTGACAGCAATTGAGGACTTTTCCAATATATATGCAGCCAAACCTGCAGGACTGTCGGCTAATGCGGAGGATATAGTGTCTGGTTTGGTGGCCTGTATATGATAATAACCGGTTTCTCTCATTAATAACTGAAATCGTTTTTTTAGCGGAAATATTCTCGGATAATCCCGGTCGGGATTTTCAAACACTAGTTGTGGAAACCACATTGCAATCAAAAATTTAACAAAATGTATGCCTTTCGGGATCAAACATCGGTTCAGATTTAAGTGTAATCCACGGATACTGTGATAAACATATATATATATATAAATTATTAATAAGTAATTAATATATTTTCTATAAGAAATAACAAAAAATAATAATAAATCACTTTTGTGGATACAGTTTGGCCATAGATCTGGCCACAAAACTGCCCCAATCGCCGCCATTCACAACAAAATTATTGTGATTTAATTTTTTCATAAGTTTAATAAAAATATGTGCCGTTTGTATACTATCGAGACCTTTATAATTAATAAATTTTTATATATTTAATCAAAATTTATATTAAATTAACATTTCTAAACAAACCCGACTGATTCGGTGCCTCTGAAAAGCCATAACCGGGAATCGATGGACAGATTATTTCAAATGCCAGACCATCTGCTGTCGGTTCAGTCAACAGTGGAATTGTTTTGTAAAACTCCCAAATTGATCCAGGCCATCCATGAATTAACTTTTTATATATAGTTACAAAAATAGTTAGATATTAATATTAATTATAATAATCAAAATAAATACCATTAAGGGAACGATAGTTTTTGCCGGTTTTGATGGTTTTACGTGAATAAAGTGTATATCAATACCACTGATCTTAGTTTTAAAGTGATTGTATTTGTTTAACTCCTTTTCCTGTTTACGCCAATCAAACTTTGTCAGCCAATAGTCGACCACTTGTTTGAGATAATCACCATTAAAGCCATAATTGAATTGACTGTCTGGCAGTGGTTTCACAAAACGGGTCGATCGGAGACGTTGTTTCAGTTCACTGTGTACTTCATCCGATATGTTGACTGTAAACTTGTTGATAGTATCGGGATCTTTAGGTAATGGTTCGCCAGCTATTAAAACCATACAACAAATCAAAACATTAATATAAAAGTTATTTTTTTTAAATAAAACAATTGCTAACATTTAAGTTTATTTTTGCCAAACCATTTGGGCTCTGTTTGAAGTAAATCTAATTTATCACTTTTTATAAATAATTGTAAAACAATAGCAGTTATTGCCGTTAAAATAGCCAAAGCAATTAATTTTCCCAAAATTCCCATAATATTATTATTATTAATATAAAATTCAGTAATACTGATATTTTCTTTGAAAACAACGAAATTATTATTTCATAAATATTTATTTTTAAACAATAATTTAGTATAAATACATTATTTTCTTTTTCAACAAATAAATAGTCAGTTTATGACAACTTTTATATTTATGAACTTAATATACAAAATATTTCACAACTACTAAACATTATTGCTAATATACATTTCTCAATATACAGGTATCAATAACATTAAAAAAAATTGTTAATATTAAATATAGTTATAGTTAACTTTAATTTAAATTAATAGATACAACAAAAAATAAGTATAAAGTCTAAAAACTATTACTGTAAAAACCAGTTTTACATACAACTTATCATAAGTTATATTAGTTTTGTTTCAAATTGTACTTTAAAACACTTTAATTTTTAAGTAAATTCAATATTTTATTTAATAATAATAATATTGTTATTTATATAAATTTGTTATTTAGTACATTTCAGTGCATTTCCGTACATTTATGATGTAATAAAAGTTTAATACAGTAGTTTTGATAATTTAATTTTTTTAATATAATATTTGATTTGTTTATAAATAAATAATATTTTACAATTAAATAATAAAATAATAATTTGATTAAAATATAATTTTATATATTTATTAATAATATTTGCTACAACAACAAAAAACAATTATATTGTCGGTTAGTTAGCTCACGATTGCGTAAAATAAAACCAAACGATTATTATTATAAACGTTTTATTTTAAATAAGCAAAAAAATCATTAAATAAAACCATTACAAAACGTTAGGTTATATTATACCGGATAATATCGTACAGTCTATAATATGTATGAGTTTTTTATGGCCACTATCGGTCGTCAATTTATCCGACGGAAAATGTTAGATATTAAACATGTTATCAAAATTTTATTATTTGGTAATCATATTATTAATTATTTTATTTATAATTATGTAATAAAATTTTAATAAATATATACAGTAATTTACGGCTACGCTATTTATTATATTAATTATAAATATTTTTAATCATTATTGTATATTTATATATATATATACTGTATATATATATATATATATATATTATACGAGTTAAAAATTTTTATTATCCGGTAATCATTAAATATTTTGTTGTCTAGGAAATATTCTAGACAAATAGTTACTGGTGCTTGATCATTTTATCAACATAAACTATTATGTTATATAATAAAACAAATATAAATATTTCTAACAATTGTCATTCAATATTATTATTAAAAAAAATGCTAAAAATAAATACAGTATATGTATGAATAAATTATCTAATAATAATTATCTTGATTGCTTTTTATAATGTAATAGCTACACTATATGATCGTGTTACATTTTATGACTGTAATCATTATTATCGTGTTAAAACAAGTATTAATAAAATACAATATAATATAATTTGTATAAATGTAAAAAAATTGAATAGTGTTATTTATATTCATAGCATTTAAAATTATAATAAAATAAATTAGTAAATAAAAATCTAACTAAAAACAAATGTCTCATCAAAATACTAATCCTATCAATGACTGTGAGATGACACTAACCAACAACCAGACTAACGGTGCGTCGGAAAAGTATAGGGATAGTCGTGCCGTACGAATCAATCAAACTTTGAAACATTGGGAAAAAAGTATTGAAATTAATTATTAATTGTAAAATTAGTTTTTTATTGCATCTTTAAATTTTATTTTCCAATTTTTTAAATTTAAAAATAAGTATTTTACTACCAAGTGATCCCAACAATTATGACATTAATAGCTGGCATATTTTGTCTTGTTATAGGTATAAATAAATAATTATTATTATGTATCTATATATATTAAAATTATATACTCTATATAGTAGTTATATTATTTTCTAAAATATTTTTAATTAAATTTTTTTAAATAACATATTGAATATAGGAATTTTAACACTTAACAAATGTCCGTATACTCCAATATTACCGAAAATGTTGACACTTAACGGCATACTATTAATTATAGTATTAATTATTGAATTACTAAGGCTTTGGTTAAAATATAGATTACAAACACTAACCGTATCACTAAAGGTTGTCATATATGCTGAATATATTTTGATTTTAATAGTGGCCATCATTTATATCATATGTAAGTTTTTGCATATAAATCATTTTTTTCTAAATACTAAATATACAAACAAAATATGTCTATAACTTGTTGATCATATTTATTAGGCAATGTTTATGCATTTAAAGGCAATCCTGATTTATATGATAAACAATCACCAGATTATTGTAGTCCAATATTTTCAAATTTGGCCCATTGGTTGCCGGGTCAGTTATTTATTATAGCCGTTATTGTTATATTAATAATTCGTATCAGCAAAGATTATCAATTGTTGGCAAAATAAAAAAAATAGTTAATTATATTAATAATTTTAAATTTTATTTACTCTAATTTCATAACAATATATTGTATTATTTTTACTTAATTATTTTTATAATCTCTATTGCACTGAATTGATATAAAATGATTAATAAAATATTTTGTATTCAAAATGAAAGAAACTAATGTAAATGTAAATTGTATTGTAAATGTAAATTAATGTAACTGTATTATTACAATTAGTGTATGATAAATAAGTTATTACTAACAAATAATAATAATAATAAATATTTATAAATTTGATTCATAATAAACTGGAAAATTTATTTTTTAAATATAAAATTTATCTCTTTCTCTCTCTCTCTCTCTCTCTCTC